CCACCAGGGTGTGAATGTGTGTGTGTGAATGGGTGAATGATTGTGTTGTAAAGTGCCTTGGGGGGTTCCAGGACTCTAGATGGCGCTATATCAAATACAAATACAGGCCATTTACCACAGAACACTCCATCTGTTGCACTAGCTAGCTCGGCTCTGGTTTCACTTCCTGTCTAACTGCTCCAATCCGAGAATGCACGATCTGTGCAAATAGAGGGGTATGTGCAGAGGGGGGAGGGACGGTCAGGGGGCAGTTTGATGGAGCGGGACGATTCCAGTGATTGGATAAGGTTTATCCAGGATTTTAAATTTCACAGAGAATTCAAACGATCCCTTTTTGGACAAAACATTTAATTTATTGGTTGCCATCGGTATGTGAAAAGCAATTTAAACAACTATGGCAAAAACAACCTCCGCCCCACCTTTAACATTTAGAGGAAAAAAGGTAGAGCTGTACTTGCAGCCTGTGTGATAAAAGGATCTGACTGAAGACGGTAGGTTAAGGTCACATGCTATGCGGCTAAATTAAGATGGTGCACACATGTTTATTAATGTGCAAAGCAGGCCTCTGACGTACTGGGTGGAACATGTGCCTGATTGCTTGGATTAATGCAGAGTATTTCCCCAGGCCACGTTCCTTCATCTAAAATGTTTGTTGGCCAACATCTCAGGAACTCGGGCAAAGCTTTGGGAACACGCTGACAATAGTGATGTCTGAGCCCAAGGCCTCTGCTGGGTCCAGCCTCTGTGCAAACCCAGAGGCCGGACAGGACAAAAGAGCTGAGGAGGAGGGGGCTGAAACCCCTCGTAGTAAAAACAGAGTGGGATCATTTCTCTTGAATTATTTTACTGGAAGGATTAGCCCACCCACCAGTGAAAGCAAGATAAATTACCCACTTACTCTGATGGGGGAGGGGTAAAGTCCTAGTACAATACATATGGGATACCCCCATCACCACCACCACCACCCCTTCCTTATAACCTACATTTACTGCCAGACACGCAAACCGGCACACACATGAGTGCATACACATGCGGGAATAACGCCGAGGGTCTTTCCTTTTACAGTGCACATGGCTCCATCGTCCGTTAAATCCATGTTGTGTAAATATGGGAAAGTCTGTCACAGAGCGGTTGGAGCCGCATGTGACGCAGGGATGGCCACACACACATACAGACATTATAAATAAATATATATATATATATATATATATATATATATATATATATATATATATATATATATATATATCTCAGAAAAACATCAGAGGCATTTAATCTTTGTTTGTTGTAAAAAAAAAAAAAAAAAAAAAAGGGGGAAAATTCTTAAAATTGTGTTTCATCACTTTGGAATAAAAAGTTTATTTTTATTATAGATTTTTTTCTCCTGTACAAATCTAAGGTAAAAATCTACTGTGGGCAAGACTTTAATTTTTATAGTGTCAATGTGTAGTAGGGTTGTCACGGTAACCGGTGTAGCGGTAAACCCCGGTAAAAAAAAGTTGACAGTAATAATAACCGTCTTGTTTTTAAAAAACTATATTATCTTGGTGGGTTACCGTGGCTGCGGTGTAGGTGCGGTGACCCTTACCAGCCACCGTATCATCTGCTGAAGTTGCCGGCGGCACATGCGCACTTTGTTGTTTACAACCAAAACTTTCTTGAAGCTAAAGCTGAAATAATGGCCAAAGGAGGAGACGGCAGCACTCAGGACATTTATTATCCCTCAAAGAAAACAAAGTGGGAAGTACGGGCATTTTTTGGATATCTGAAGAATGCCGAGGGACAGCTGATAGAAGACGGCTATCCTGTTTGCAGCACGAGCAGAAAAAGAGTCTGTGAAAGGCAGCAACGCTTCAGATCTCATGACACATCTGCGTGACCATCACCCACAACTCTACAGTCAACGCAAGGCAAGCTAATGTTAGCGTTTTAGCTAAAATGCGTGATCCGAGGATTTAGGTTGAGGGAGAACGCAACGAGTCGCTATATAAAGCAGCTGCAGCGCCGCTAGCTGCCTATAAACCGTGTCGCGGACACCCCCATGTTGAAATGACGCTATGCATTACGGGGCTCCCAGGGGCGGATAAGAGTTGGTCTCTCTCCGAGAATAATTATGAATTTAACAACGATTACTGCCTGATGACATTTTCCCACATCTGCAAAGCTCACTGGAAGGACACAAACCGAGGACAATACTTTCCTGATATAGGGTTTATTACTCAAGTAAGGGTAAAAAAGTATCTGATTACAAGGCTACTTGAGTACTGAGTATCATCTGATCTAATATTTTTAAAATGATGACATCAAACAGACATAAAATAAGAAGTTATGGGCAAATATTGGTATTTTAAAGACTAAAGGGAAAAAATGTAAACAAATAAACAACATAATTACAAAATAACACATTTTAGGCAAAAGTTAGACACAAACCAAGGACAATATTTTCCTGATATACAGGGTTTATTTAGTTGTCTGAAAATGTAACACATTTAAAAAAAATACCGCGATAATACTGAAAACCGTGATCATTTTGGTCACAATAACCGTGAGGTTACATTTTCCACCGTGACAACCCTAATGTGTAGTTTTTACCATTAATCTCTGGAAATATCCATTGACATGTTGTAAATTAATTAAGATACCCAGTTGTTTCACAACATGTGACCATAAAAATTGGGTTTAAAATACATGGGAGCGGGTCTAAGTCTATGGGCGACGCCATATTGGAAGCCATGTTTCCTTCTACGGAAGCCCGTGAGGACAGAATGCATTTAACTCATTTACTGCCAGCCGTTTCCTGATCGGTAAAGCCCTTCGCTGCCAGCGTTTTTCACCGTTTTTACTATTTTTTAAGAGTCACAACTAACAAAATAAAAAGTAGACTCACCTCTTACATCAGGAAAAATCTGCGTGTTTCAAGCGTTATCTGTTCTTTCATAATCCGTTGTTGAATTGTGATCGGCAGAAGCTTTTACGGTTCGCGCCTCACTTTTTTTTACAGCAGCGGCCCAAAACGATCTCCTAACACATGGATTTTCAGCTTCCTGATCACGTGATGTGTGACGTATGCGGATGAAGATCGGCTTTAGAGCTGAGATGTTGGTTCTCATGGTGCGGGGGCTCGTTCCGATGCCCAAACAGTAAAAAAGTGCAAATGACGAATTTAGTCATCATTGGCAGTGAATGAGTTAATGATTTGTAACAAATGATTACAAAACTTTCAGCATTAATAACCGTTTTACACATTTACCTCTTCACTCATTGCAAGGGATGACAGGGAATCTGATGTTCTTGTTATTTTGACGGAGGTTGCACTCCAAAGGATTTTTGACCCTAATGGCCATCCGTTGGTAAGGTCTTACTTGAACAAAAAAATAATGCTTGCTTGCAATGATTTAGGTATGTACTGTCCCTTATCGCCAGGGAAGCTACACACTGTCACTTTAAGTTCCTTTTGCTTCTAAAGAGAGGGAGGAGCTTAAGACGGATACAGAAGCCAGCCACTAGGGGAGCTTCATTCCTGTCTTGCTACATGTAAATGACCTACACAATTAACTAAAACACCCCAAAATCTTTATTTTGAAGTTCATTAAAAACTCCTTTAGAGTGTTTTGGGTGTTTCCTGTTGTACTTGAAATTTTTGTACTTTACTTTTAAAACAGTTTTTGGTTTAGGAGGCGGATAAGGACTTAAAGAGTGCATTTAATCACATGTGGACACTCGTTCTATAAAGCTTCAAAATAAACTAACTGTGTGCCTCACCACGGCCAAAACCCAAATCCTTAGAGTGAAAATAACCTTTTTGTTTAAATGAATGTACATTTTTAAAGTAATAATTTTTCAGTTTCAAATAATTGTTTAAATGTTTGTCAGCTACTTATACCAAATCTGTGAGATTATTTTATTTCTTTTTATTTTCAAAGACTGTTTTGCATTAAGGTTCCACAGCTCTTGCATCAACTAGCCCCAGTACAACTAAAGGGTTTAGCTTGAAAAAAGCACCAGCTTTACAGTATTACACTAATATGAAATACTTCTTAAAACTGCGTGAGAATGTAAATGTCTTGGCAGATAAACACGGTTTACTCAGGATGACTCTGAAGAAGAACGGGTGCTTCTTGTCCGACTTGTTTTTGTCTCTAATCTGTGGGAGTGAGTCAGTTCAGCTTTACTGATACACTAAATCATGTATAGTTACATGGCTACTTCCTTTGGATGGAAACAATCCTAAAACGGATGCGTCTCTAGTATTCAAAGACATTGCTCAACATCACAGATCCCTCTTGCCCGACTCCATCTGCTCCTCTCGGTGTGCAACAAGGAGGTCTGGAGACTCATCTGTTCGTGTAATCAGCCTCTGAACAAGTATCATCACTGCAAGGAAAAACCTCCTGAAGCCAACAAGGAGAAATTGTTCCAGATGGAGCCATTTTTCTTCATCCTGCTTTGTTTTTTGGCTCCGATTGCTGCAGACTCAACGTTTGAGACACACAAAGGCTTTTCAGTAACAACTGGTACCTGAGGGCCCCAAACAATGAACAAACAAAGTTGGTATTTATCCCACAGAGCTGGTCCAAATCCCACAGCATCCCTCTGAAACAAGGAGGCCCACCGATGCTCGTTCACGAGGCTAAACAACACTCAGAAACCGAAGTACCCCCACCTCTAACGAGACAAACAGGGCAAGAAAGGGGCCTGAGCAACGTGGGTATTGTTCAACCAAACCTAAATAATTATATAGCTAGAAGGCAAACTGCGCTCCAACAAGGGCCTTCAGTGGAAGAATATGGGAACAGAACACAAGCAACCAGGCACACATGCCTGGTGAAAAACACATATCTGGTTTCTAAAAGACAAAGAACAAGGCAACAAGGTGGGAACACTCCTCCGACTCACACTTCCCGTCATCTTATCCGTGACTTTTGTTCAGCTTTTTTGAACCTGAAGCTGGATTTTCACCCGTGTCACCATTAAATGTTCAGTTTTGAATTTTCACTCACATTTGATATTAAAGGACGCCTTGGTGGACCGGAGCTCGTCTCCTGTGGCGTGGTTTTCTGCGGCGCACTCGAAGCTCCCTGCGTCCAGCTGCCGATCCACGGCGGTGAACTTCAGGTTGCTGCCCTCCTGGAAGCGCCTGTCGTTGTTCTCCAGCGGCGCGTCATCGATGTACCACCTGTACGCGATGTTGACCGGATCACTGACCTCACAGCGCAGCATCGCGCTGCGACCGTGCAAGGCATCCTGGGACTTGGGCTCCTTGGTGAACTGGATGGCGGCAGCCTGGATGGACAGAACTGGAAGACAGGAAAAGAGACGGAAAAGTAAATAACAGGATTAGAAACTTCACCGCTGTTAAGGTTTTATAGCTTTTTCCGCTCATTAAATATGTGCCAGACCAACCACTCAGGCCTGTGGAAGAATGCGATGCTTAGACAATAATGACTTGTGGTAAATTATTATGTTGTAAAACGATCAGAGAGAAACCAGGAGAAACAAGGGTTTCCTGTTAGGAACGAGGCTGGAGCGGGTTCTCCAACAATTATACAGATCATGTATCTCAAACAAACTTCATCCTCACTCACACACAGCTTCTATTTATAATCCAGTTTATGAACCAGTTTCAGCTTATGCTCCATTTACTCACTTATAACTGGAGAAAATCAAACTGCAAATACAGACTAAAACCATGGCTGATAGGATGTACAGAAAACTGCTAGAGGAGGAGAATAGAAATATTTATTATTTATAATTAGGGATGCAACACATCAGTATTGGTCTGATCAATAAAAATGGGCCGATATTAACCAATATTTTTTCCATCTTGTTTCCATTTGTTTATCAGGTTGGGGGGGGGGGGGGGGGGGGGGGTATTTGTTTAGTCATGCGACAGTGATTGTCATCATATCAGAAGCGTAAGTGTGTGTACATAATAATGTAAATCCAGCTTTATTTTCATTCTGTACAAAATCTGCTGATTTTCGAAGCATTAATGTCGAATATCGATATCGGCCCAAAAAATGTCTTATCGGTGCATCGCTATTTATAATATAAGATTATGAATAGTTTGATGCATCTTTATTCTACTCATATTCTTCTCAATCTGTCACATTCAGCCAACAGCGTTTTGTAGTTTCTACTCAAAAGTCACTCGTTGGAAATCTTTTCTCCTCTCTTATTATCCATCACTGGCGGGTTCTGCTCTGGTGGCGATACGAGACGCTTCGTCTAAATCACATCAAAGGACCAAAGATTATTGCTAGAAATCCTTTTCTCATCAAAAGCTGCTCTCACATTATTAAAAAATCAACTTCCTTTTTGATCCAACTTCTTTCAAAAAGGTCTGCATACCTGATGTTATGGTTGGTTAGCCTGCACGGTGTAGTGTGTGGGTGCTAATCTAACCTTGGACTCTTGGAATTGGAACGCTCCTGATCTATGACCTCACACGGCCCACCTCTGCTTTTCTTCACATTCCCATTCTCTTTTGTCTCAGCTGCAAGAGGTTTGACAACACCTGTGACGATGTAACCTGATCACAATAAAATAATTTCAACATCTTTTTAGATCACTAAAGTCCCATTTGTGTGACGTGCTAGGTGAGCACCACTGTTCAAGACAACTCACGGGCCATTGACAGAAAATACCCGAAACACAAAACACTCATTTTATAAACGACAATAAGAGACAGATGACAACAAAATGATAACAAAAAAGACCTTTAACTGGGTAAAATGGTTAGAGTTGATTTGAGGCCAATAGGAATTAAATGATTCTGCGATTCGTGTTTTGCCTTCCTCAGGTGCTCTCACACAGACGTGTTCTGACAAGGTCAAGATATTCTGCAGAGACGAATCTTCCAACATTAACACTAATCAGAACTGTCTGTCTCTCCAATCCTCAAGACAGAAAAACTGTTCGCTCAGGAGTGAATCACAACCTGTCTCTACTTCCTACAACCCACAAACCTCTTTTAAAGATCCTAAAGAGTGTAAAACATTATCAAGGTCAAAGGTCATCTCAGACATTTTATTTTACCAAAGTCATCTGATAGACAAATGTATTTATGAATACCCTCCCTTCATAAACTTATGAGAGTCTATGTGGAAAATAAAGAGCTATAAATCATCCTCGGGACATCCGAGCTGTCCTCTCTGCGTGATTTATTGCTCCAAGTACCGTTTCAACTCTGTCGCCGTATGGATTGGAACGACTCCCCCATGAGGCGGCGGGTTGCTTCCATCTGTGTAAAACTGGGATAAAAGGCAGCAGACGGGTTGGAAACAAGTAAAATCATCTCCAACATCCATCTAAACAATCTATCAAGCAAGCTTTGTAGATGGCGCGTTGGCACCGAGCCCAAACTACAGCTGTGCTGAGGAAACAAGCCCACCTACTCATTACTCTCTAGTTCTCTCAAGTCACCAGCGTTGGCTCAGACGTGCGATATCTGCTGCATGCGGCTGACGGTTCCATTTGAGATGGTTGTTGACATCATGTGTGTTTAGAAAAGCTCAGGCTTCCGGTTAGAGCTTGAGCCTAGACAGGGCAGGTAGATAAGGTGTTTCATATATCAGGCAACGACGGACATGAAGGAGAACGCTGGCTGGTGGAGGGGTCAAGTGTCAAATATAACAATAAAACGGCTGCCAACTTTACCGTGTGATCCAGACTGGAACAGAACTAAGCTCTACACCCAACAGACACACAACTAGATGCCCAGATCTCTTCAACAGCGTCACAGGACCACTCAGTGCCACCAACGCCACTCGAGTTCTACCCGTCGGACCGAATCAGCAGCTAAATCGGGTCAATCTTTTTTTAGAGTCTCGTGAGTGTCGAAGGAAAACCAAAATGCCTAGATCTGCAGAGGGTGGAGCTTCAGAGATAAGCCAAGTGAGCGCTATCCAAATCCCCCTTCAAAGTGAGACGGGTTGAAAGGGAGAGTTAGAGATAAAGGGCAGACAAATGATCCAAGAGGAGGGAAAGCAGGAAAAGGAGGGCTTTCTGTTTGACTCACTTTTGTCTTTACTTAATAAAGCTAAATAAGGACATTTTTATGAAAATTATGGGAGAGAGGCAACCCTGAGATTAACGTGATTTCCATCAAATCTGGGATAATCTCACTCACGTCCTTTGACTGCACAAATCCAAAGTGTGAAACAAAGCAGATCTGTGTTAACGACTCTGAATTCTGCTTTAGCCTTAGGAAGAAAATCTTAAGAGGTGAGACACGCCCAACCAGACCGCGTGAGTGAGACACGTCCAACAGGACCATATGAGTGAGACACGTCCAACCAGACCGCGTGAGTGAGACACGTCCAACAGGACCATATGAGTGAGACACGTCCAACCAGACCGCGTGAGTGAGACACGTCCAAGTGAGTGAGACACGTCCAACAGGACCATATGAGTGAGACACGTCCAACAGGACCATATGAGTGAGACACGTCCAACAGGACCATATGAGTGAGACACGTCCAACCAGACCGCGTGAGTGAGACACGTTCAAGTGAGTGAGACACGTCCAAGTGAGTGAGACACGTCCAACAGGACCATATGAGTGAGACACGTCCAACAGGACCATATGAGTGAGACACGTCCAACCAGACCGCGTGAGTGAGACACGTTCAAGTGAGTGAGACACGTCCAACAGGACCATATGAGTGAGACACGTCCAACCGGACCGCGTGAGTGAGACACGTCCAACCAGACCGCGTGAGTGAGACACGTCCAACAGGACCATATGAGTGAGACACGTCCAACCAGACCGCGTGAGTGAGACACGTTCAAGTGAGTGAGACACGTCCAACAGGACCATATGAGTGAGACACGTCCAACCGGACAGCGTGAGTGAGACACGTCCAACAGGACCATATGAGTGAGACACGTCCAACAGGACCATATGAGTGAGACACGTCCAACCGGACCGCGTGAGTGAGACACGTCCAACCAGACCGCGTGAGTGAGACACGTCCAACAGGACCATATGAGTGAGACACGTCCAACCAGACCGCGTGAGTGAGACACGTCCAAGTGAGTGAGACACGTCCAACAGGACCATATGAGTGAGACACGTCCAACCGGACCGCGTGAGTGAGACACGTCCAACAGGACCATATGAGTGAGACACGTCCAACAGGACCATATGAGTGAGACACGTCCAACAGGACCATATGAGTGAGACACGTCCAACCGGACCGCGTGAGTGAGACACGTCCAAGTGAGTGAGACACGTCCAACAGGACCATATGAGTGAGACACGTCCAACCGGACCGCGTGAGTGAGACACGTCCAAGTGAGTGAGACACGTCCAACAGGACCATATGAGTGAGACACGTCCAACCGGACCGCGTGAGTGAGACACATCCAAGTGAGTGAGACACGTCCAACAGGACCATATGAGTGAGACACGTCCAACCGGACCGCGTGAGTGAGACACGTCCAACCAGACCGCGTGAGTGAGACACGTCCAACCGGACCGCGTGAGTGAGACACGTACAACAGGACCATGTGAGTGAGACACGTCCAACCGGACCGCGTGAGTGAGACACGTCCAACCGGACCGCGTGAGTGAGACACGTCCAACCAGACCGCGTGAGTGAGACACGTCCAACAGGACCATATGAGTGAGACACGTCCAACCGGACCGCGTGAGTGAGACACGTACAACCGGACCGCGTGAGTGAGACACGTCCAAGTGAGTGAGACATGTCCAACAGGACCATGTGAGGACTGAGCATAGGGACGGTCTTATTAGGCATCTCAATACAGCAATACTCGGCGTGACTCGGGAAGGTCCGGTTCGGTGTAGCCGCCTTTTCCAACAGCATGGTTTGGTATTTTCCCTCTACTTCTCAGTAGGGATGCACCGATCAGGTTTTTTGTTGCCGATCACCGATACCGATCACGTGGATTGGCCAGAAATTTTCTACAACATTATAATGAGTGCTACAAACTACATAATCTGGGAATAAAGGAAATGTAACCTAATCTAAAATGGTGTGTAGTAGGGTTGTCACGGTGTGAAAATTTAACCTCACGGTTATTGTGACCAAAATTATCACGGTTTTCGGTATTATCGCGGTATTTTTTTTAAACGTGCTACATTTTCACACAATTAAATAAACCCTGTATGTCAGGAAATATTGTCCTCAGTTTGTGTCTAAATTTTGCCTAAAATGTGTTATTTTGTAATTATGTTGTTTATTTGTTTACATTTTTCCCCTTTAGTCTTTAAAATACCAGTATTTGCCCATAACTTCTTATTTTATGTCTGTTTGATGCCGTCATTTTA